TTTTTTTGAGAGTGTTTAGGAAGTGTTGCTCTTAGTTTTTCTTTAAATGCTTGATGGAATTCAGCCATGAAGACATTAGGATAAGAATATTAAAGTATCAAAAGGGCAGAACCTCCCACCATTAAGAACTTTCCATCACTGTCCTGTAGGGGGCATGCTGCGCCACCACCCAGCCCTCTGCAGTGGGAGGAGTCAGACTGTTTCTGGTGTGTGTGTGTGTGTGTGTGTGTGTGTGTGTGTGTTGCTGGAAGATGAAACCGGGGTGTTTTGCCACTGAGCGACATCCCCGGCCCTTCTTTTATTTTATTTTTTATTTTTTTAAATTTTATTTTGAGATAGGGTCTGGCTACGTTGCTCCAGTTGGCCTTGAACTTGGGATCCTCCTGCCTCAACCTTGTAAGTAGCTGGGATTCCAGGTGTGCACCACTGTACCCCAGCTTGTGTTTTGTTTTAATATATAGAAAAATATCCCGAAGTCACCTTGATCGCAGGGGATGAGTCACCTTTGAAATACTGAAGGACGGTGTTGGGAGGCTCCAGGGACCCCAGGGCGTCTCTTAGGAGGGCGACTCATGGAGATGGAATATAATGAGACCTGCTGAGTCCCAGAGGGTTGGCCTCGGCTCCAGTCTGTGGTGGCAGTTGCCTGAGCCTGTCCTCACTCACCTTCTGGGGCTGGCCTGCGACCCAGGGGAGGGGATGCTGCGTGTGAGTGGGCATCGTGCCAGGGCCCAGGGCAGTGATGGAGTGGATGACACCGACCGCCTGCCCCCAGGCCCAGCCTCCTCCGTCTCTTGGCCCCCAGAGGAGTCACCTTCGTGTTTCTCTGGTGATGCAGCAGCCAGGGCCGAGGCTGCGGCACCTGTTTTCTGTGGGTGGGTGGGAGTGGGCCAGCTGCACCTCGCTCTGTGGTCATCAACACTGAGGTGAGATGCTGTGCTACAGGGGACTCATCCCTGTCCTCTAGAACAGCTGGTCCCATCTCCATAACACGCTTACATGGCCCTTTTGTTTGATTTCTGATTACACACATCCTTCCTCCTTTCAAAACAGCTAGAGGTCATTTGTTTATTTTTAAATTAAAGCAAATCAAAATTCACTTTGCTGCAGGCCCGGCAGTGACTGCAGTCGGCCAACCTGTCAGGACGCTGGGACACGAACTGAGGGTCTTGATTCAATGACCAACGATCCCAACCTCCTGCTGTTATCACCACAGCTGAGTGTTCAACTGAATCCCTGCTCCAGGTCCTGGGGGCAGCGGAGTCTCACCACACCCCACTTCAGACTCCTGGGGGAAGAAGTCCGACTGGGCACACTGGGCTGGAGTCCACCTGGGTCCAATCAACCGGGTTCCAGGTGCGTCCAGGAGGAAAGGGTCATGCACCTCAAAGAAGGGGGGGTGCTGTTGGAGATAGATGACCCCATCCCCCAGGAGGCTGAGCACGCAGCACAGACAGCACTGAGACAGACAGGTCAGGTGTCATTCTCCTCCAGATGAAGTGACAATGAGACCTACAGAAAAGGCTGACCTAGGCAGGGTGTCAGCAGGAATGACAGGCTGCGGCTCTCTGCAGGTCCCTCTCCAAGGGCAGATGCCACAGCTGTTTGTCAGTCAGGTCCACCTGTCCCCTGGGCTGGGTGTCAGGGGGCTGTGCAGGGGGAGCAGAGGCCCCAGCGCATTCTCAGAACTTTAGGAGAGCTGCATTTGCAACAGAAGCGACGCCTCAGCTGCTCATGGCAGCTGCTTCCCTGACGACCTTTTCTAGTCCTTCAAACTCGCATGTGCTTAGGGGGCAGCCTCACCCCATCAGCCGCCTGACACAGGACAAGGTCACATGTGTGTCTTTCCAGATGGGAACAGGGCGGAGACCTGGAGAGTTGGGGAGTTTTCTCGGGGCCTCTCCCAAGGCCTGCCCAGTAGGATCTGGGCAGGAGAAGCCCCCTGCTGACCACCTTTCAGGCATATCCACGGTGCCAAGGTCACAGGTTCTGGGAGTGCAGGAAGGAGTCAAGAGAACCAACACATGAATCCCACGGGCCAGGCAAAAGCGGGACAGACGGCACTTCTTGAGCACCTGCCAAGTCCAGAGTTCTGATCTCCATGCCAGGAAAGAGGAGGACGACTCAGCCCTGCCTTGGAAACTGCCCGTCTGCCTGGACAGGAGGGACTGTATGGGCTGGGAGTAAGAAGGTGGGAAACGTCTAAATGGCCAAGTGACCTAGTCCCAGTCTCCAAGGAGCTGCGTGGAGACAGAGGGCCACCCAGCAGGGCTCTTGGGACTTGACGGGGGCACGAGAGAAGGAGGTGAGCAAAGGCAAAGAGGTGGGAAGGCAAAGGACACATTTGGGCCCCTGGAGCGGGGTTCACAGGTGGGAACACGGCAGAGGAGTTCAGAATTGGCAGGTCAGAAATGCGAGGTCTCAAATGGCAGGTTAAGGAGAATGAGTGTGACCCCATAAGTAATGCACAAGGGGGGAGTTAGAGGTGGGTAGGGAGGAAATATCTGGAAGGGGTGTGCCCATGGATTCCAGGCTGTGAGCAGGAACTAGTGGAGTTGAGAGGAACTAGTTGGAAGCCTTGGCCGTGATTAAGGATCCAAATGCCTAGAGCTTGGATTAAGGTGGGAGGACTTGGGAATAGACATTTGAAATGTCACAAAGAGTCCATGGGACTTGGTAGCTCATTTGCTGTGGGAAGGAGAAGGAAAATATCAAGCTTGAATGATTAAATGGAATCCATGTCAGAGAGAGGGAATGTTTTCCACATCCACAGATCAACACATCCACCGAGAGGCAGAAGGAGAAGGTGATCAGAGAATTCCATACGGTCTCTGTCCTTGGGGAAGGCACGTCCTCTTCTCTCATCTTTAGCTCTTCCAGAAAAGGCCTAAGAGTCATCATAGAGATATCACGGAGGAGGTGAGAAAAGAAAATTTCATTGCCAGCCTGTAACAGGTACTTTACCCACAGCCTCAGGAATCCTCAAAATAACCCTAAAAGCTCTGGGAGAGGCCTGGCTGCCTGGGGCAGGGGCTCTGAGCATGGGAGTGCTTCAAGTGTCTTGTCCAGGCTAGACAGGTGGGCTGCAGGAAGCCCTGGGGGGATTGAGGGCCAGCCTCAGGCTAGGGAGCCACTGTGCGCTCTGACTGTCAGGAAACTGAGCAGGGACAAGGACCTCCTGTCAGGACATCAGGCAGAGAAGAGATGTCGGGGCCCAGGGGGGAGTTTATTTTTGGCTGAGTTGAGTTTGGCAGGATCGTGGGGCCCCAGAGACAGGCAACTCTAAGCTCGGGCGAGAGTTCAGGGCTTCAGTCCAAGGCTTGGGGTCACCTGTCAGACACTGTGACTTGAGACCACTGTTGAAGTTCATTCTTCTTTAAAGTTGACATTGGTTTGACTCAAACAAATTTGCATTCTCATCTCATCCAGCTTATTTGGTAGGAATAATAAGCTGGCAGAGGACTGCTAATGAGAAAAGGGATTGGAGAGTCACTTTATAATTAATCAAGTTAGGATTATGGATGCCCAATTAAGGCGGGGGAGGCATTTTTCCTGAACATGAAGGACAGGACCAGGGTTGGGTTTTAGAGTCACATGGGTTTTCTCTTTTGTTCCAGTCCATTTTTCTTTCCCCCATTAATTAATTAGTCTAGGCTCTAGACCAGAACCCATCTGATTTCTTTCAGGAAGGCCTGTGTTAATTTGGATGTGATCTTCTGACCCTGGAGGGTGACGCTGATCCAGCGCCCCAGGTTCACTCACCGAGCTAACCCTGTGATGACTTGTGGCTGCGGCAATGAACATGTCGGACTTGATGTCTGTCCTCAGTCTCCAGGAAGGAGAAAAGAGTAAATGGATATGGAGGTTGTCCCTGTTGAAGATGAAGGCAGATGCTATGGTCTCAGTGATTTGGTGTCTCCAAAATGCCAGTGTTGAAAATGGCCCCCAAGGTAGGATAGGGGCCCTCTGGGAGGTGGTTAGATCTCGAGGTCAGTGCCCTTACAAGGGCAATCAGTGCCCATATGAACGAGATCTGAGACCCCCCTGTCCCTTCCATCACATGAGGACACATCAAGAAAGCACCATCTATGAACCAGGAAGTGGCCCTCATCAGGTGCTGATTCTGTGGGTGCCGAACCTTATCCTTTTCAGGAGGCAGAAATGTGAGGAATAGATTCCTGTTGTTTATTCTGTGGAGCAGCCCAAACCGACTGAGCCAGCCGAGGAAAAATAACCAAGAGATGTACAAAAGGAATGAAGCACTAAGGTCAAAGGCAGGAACACACATCAGAAGAATGAGAACCAGAGAAGGGTCAATAGAATCAAAGGAGTGATTAGCTTCCTTTCTGGGAGCAACTTCAGAAGAGCACGGCAGAAGCCAGTGCACTGGACCAAGCAAGAGGGATGGTGAGGCAGAGTCAGCCTTTCATGTGCTCCCCAGTGAAGGAACACAAAGAAACCTGGGAACCAGGAACGATGCTTAAAAGACAGGGCAGATGCATAGAGGGCAACTGGGAAAACTGATTACACTTAGATTATTCTTCAAAATATTCTGGCCCACTGATAGGAAAATAGAGAAATAAATTGTGGTATATTCATAAAACATACCAAATGGTAAACTATTGTTATACACACAAACACATGAATAAAATAATTTTGAGCCAAAGAATACATCCTGTATGATTCTAATTATGTCAAATTCAAGGACAGACAAAATAATACATAGTGCTAAAGATCAGAACTGTGGTAACCTGGTTTGGGAGTGGGCACAGATGGGGAAGAAGTCCTAGAAATGATCTAGAATGATTTCAGTGATGTATACATACATAAAAAAAAAAACCTCATCAAGTTATACATGTGTATGTGTAAAACTATATACTTTTTTTTACTTTTTAATTTTTTTATTCTATGTCTTGATTTTTAAAGTCTTTTAAGTGGAAAAATGAACAGAAGATCTGTATATGTATTATCTGTCACTGTGCAATAAATGACCTCAAAACTTAGCATCTTAAAACAATAAGATTTTACTAGTTCGTGGTTTCTACTGGAATCTGGGAGAAGTTTAACTGAGTGATTCTGGCTCAGGGTCCTCTCATGAGGTTGCAGTGAAGACGTGAGCTAGGGAGGTAGTGCTCTCAAGGCTGGAAGGTCCACTTCCAATATGGCACACTCAAACGGTTCTTGGCAGGAGGCAGTTCCTTGCTGAGTGAGCTTCTCCATAGGACTGCTGGGGTATCCTCACAGCACAGGCAGCTGGTTTCAATCAGAATGAGTGTACAGGAGAGAGCAAGATGGAACCCACTCTGTCTTATGACTTAATCTCAGAAGTAACCTATATCACACTTCCATAGTGTTCTCTGCATTACTAGATTCCTCTTGAAGCAAAGAGGAGTCAAAGGCATGTCAGAGTTTGTGGGCCTATTTTAAAACCACCACCCCACAGAACAGTGCTACATTCCCAAATGTTTGCAGGTCCTGTCTTATGGCAAGAGACCAGGATCTGGGAAGACCCCTGTGGTAGGCAGAATATCATACCCCCCCCCCAAGCTATCTGTGTTCTAATTGCCCGAACCTGTAAATGTTATGTTACACGGCAAAGAGGTCTTTAGTTTGCGAATCAGCTAACCTTAAAATAAGGAGAACATGCTGGATTATCCAGAGGGATTCAGTGTCATCAAAGGTCCTTTAAAGTGAAAGCAGGAGGTAAATGTGTCAGCATGGGGCAGCATGAGAAAGACCATCCCGTTATTGCTGGCTTTAAGGCTGGGAGGAGGCCCTGAGCCAAGGGATGTAGGCACTGTTACAGGGCATTGGGGGGTCTCTCTTGGGTCACAACAGACCCGCTCATGATACCTTAGGGACTTTCCGGTGCTTTACCTGGGACCTTTGTAGAACCAGGTGGAACGAAGGGAGGCAGTGGGGGAAGGGAGGGAGGAAAACCCTGGGCTAACGACGGACTTCACGGGCTTGGAGTGTGAAACGGGCTGGTCCGGAACAACCAAACACAAACGTGACGCTCTGCACACTCATACTCAAGACGGTGACGCCTGTTTGGGCTTTAAACGAAGATTTTTTTAATCTCCTAGTGGAGGCCTGGGCACCGGTGCTGGTTTAAGAGGGCAACAAGCCCTGGCTGCACAGCTCAAGGATGAGGAAGGATGATCCGGGGCTGCTGGCTAGGTGGGAAGCACGTACTCCATCTCATCACAGCGGAGGTAAAGATAAATTAGAAAGCAGCTCCAGATGCCAAGGATGAAAAGGGTTCCCAGGCCTGGCATGGAAGTTTCCCGCTGGTTGGAAAGAAAGGCGGGACCCTGAGGCGGGGTCAGGCGGGCCGCTGGGGGGCGCCCTCCCACCACGGAGCCTCTGGGCAGCAGCCTTAGGCGTGGCCACCCACGTCCTCCTTCCTGGTGCCACGTCCTCTACAACTGAGTGGCCGCGCGGGGCGGCTCACGTCCCTACTCCCTGCACGACCGTGGGGTGGGGTCGCTGCCAGGCAGCTGGAGCAGCTCCCTCGGGGATAACCCGCTGAGAGAAGGCCTCCTGTCCGGGTCTACCTACCCCTGATTGTAGTTGGTCTTTAGGGCACACAACAAACATTTCTCCTGCGGAGGACAGAAACGGCACAAGAAAGGTCATTTTTCCCTGCTCCAAGATGGCCAGCCTGCTGGGCACCTCATCGGGCCTGGCTATAGGAGAGGACAGAATGATGCGGTGGAGCAGGTACGTCGGGGGTCAAGCCCTACAGGGTCCTGGCTCGGGAAGCGCCTCGGCCTCGAAGGCCAGGCAGGTCAGCCGGCCTCCAGACGGGGCGGGGCGGCGGCGGCCGCGGCGGCCAGGGCAGCGGGCAGCCTCCACTTACGCAGCAGCTCCTACACTGAGGAAGGGAGTCCGGCAGCTCCTTTTTGGGTTTGGGTGACACCACCGTGTTCTTGTGGAGAGACAAGGCCGCTCCGCCAGCTGCGTCCGTCTTCTTGAGCCTGAGCCGGGGGTCCGCTTCGCTCTTGCCCATCAGTTCCTCGTGCTCCATCCATCCTCTTCGCAGGGGACTGGGGTGGGGGTCGGGGAGGGGCGGAGAGTTGGGGAGACACTTTCTACCAGCACCCAGGGGGCCTGGGAGGCCCTGACTCCGAGCCCTGCGGCGGCAGGAGCCACGACAACCCCGGGAGGAGTCCTGGTCCTCGGCACCCCCAGCGCCTTCGCACGGCCGGGGGAGGAGAGCGTGGGACAGGGGGAGAGACGGGGCGGGCGACACTTACAGCTTGTTGTTCTTCTGTATATTTATTAAAACCTCCATCTTCTCGTCCATATCCTTCTGCATTTCCTTCAAGAGAGAATTCAAGACTAGAATCTTCCTTCTGAAGACCCTCGAGGTCCCTCCACCCTCCTCCTCTCTGCAAACCGCTGGGCGTCCTCAAGAATCCTCACTAGATGGGGCCAAGGGTTCGGTGGGGTGTCCACGACCACACCCACACCCGCTGCCCCCACCACTCCACCATGAGACCCAGGCCCAGGCAGAGCCTTAGGGGCTGACCAAAGTCTCCAGGTAACTGATTTACCTGTCCCAAGGTTTAAAACCCACACTTCGATGCCTATAAAATGATGGAAGCAAGAGAACAAATCTTGTGACACCAAAGACATTTGACGCCAGTGTTTTGACCCTTGCCTGTGTTTTTGTGTTGGCTCCATCTTTTCACCCAATCCAGGCAGAAATGGCTAACCCAAAATAAAACTGATGGTAGCTGAAGTGGTGTGGCACACTTATTGGTCACCGAGAAATGAAAGAATAAAACAAATTTCTTAGCAGAGTTTAGATCTGCAAAACTTGACCTGGGAAAATTGCACAGAAATAGTGGTCATGAAAGAAATTATAAGGCAGCAGAAACTATAATTGATGATATTTGTTGTGGAAAAAAACAGATTTGAATAGACCATCATAAAATATACATGAAAATAACTGACTCCAACGAAAGTAATTTTAGTAAAAAGAAAAGAAAGATTTGGAAACAGTTTAATTTGACGTAGCAAAATTGGTCAAGGAATTATACTGTTGGGGGGAAGATGATTTCAGAAAACGCCTCTTGAAAAGCGTTTTAAAATAGTAGTATATAATCAAATGTTAGAATCTATAGTGTGAAACTATCCTTGAAGACAAGAATACCCCACAGGTTCAAAATGTCAAAATCAAAACTTCCCATATACTTACGAACTTGTGGCTTTGAAGTCATCATATTCCAACCGGATCTTTTTTTCCCTTTGAAATTAGCTCTACTTCTTAATTATCCTTGTCATTGTTAACACTTCCTTATCCAGAGTCAAACTTCAGTGTCACCATGGACACTTGCCTCGTGAGACTTCATTCTTTATTTTGAGTCTGTCACTGTGGGCCGTTATTTCTTTTAATGCATTTTTCAGATTTACCCTTTTCAATCTCTTCCTAAAATCAAAGGTAGTCACCTCTCTTCACCTTGTGGCAAAGGCAGTTCCCCGCCTGTGCCCTTGCTGTCAGACAGTTGCACCTGCTCCTACCCTGCCCAGGCCACCTTGCCAGCAGCTGCTCCCAGCATGTTCTGTGATCAGGGATCCCTGCAGGCCTCTCACTACGTGCAGAACCAAGGCTCCTCTGCTGATTTGCAAAGCTGGCACTGCCCACCTCCTTTGGCCCATGCAGTTCTATTTCTCACATTTCCCCCAAATGATCCCTCTTCATGGCTGAGCTCCCCACTGACCACAAACCAGAACATCCCGCCTGCTTCCTGCTGTGCTCAAGCTGACTCCTGCCTGAAATAGCCTCCTCTGTACCTTTCCAGCCCCAGCTCCACTCACCAACAAAACTACGGTGTTTGCATTTTAATATAGAAATAATGAAAACCTTTGAGAAAGTGTGGGTGACACAAAGTAATATTAAAAAAATCAATCTTCTCACCCCCAAATAACTGCTATTAGTCCTTTGAGTATATTTATTTCCAGCTTTTTTGGGGGGAGGGGGGATAGTGAAGGTTGAACCCAGGAGTGCTCTACCACTGAGCTACATTCCCAGTCCCTTTTTAAAATTTTGAGAGAGGGTCTTGCTAAATTGCCAAAGCTGCCCTCAAACTTGAGATCCTCCTGTCTCAGCCTCCAGAGTCCCTGGGATTACAGGTGTGTCTGCTGCACCCAGTTCTAGCCCCTTTTTTTTGTATATTTACTTAATTTTTTCCCCAGTTGGAAGCAACCTGTATACCACCTTACTTTTATCTTGCTTTGTTGTTCTCATTATAAGTATTCTTTCTAAACATTGTCCTTAATAGTTTCTGATTTTTATTTCATGGATATACCATAATTTATTTGTGCTTGTTCCCCAATTTTTTTGTTATAAATGATCCTGCAATGAACATTTATTATATAGATTTATGCCACTGTTTCTGATTATTCTCACAAGTTAAATCTGAGAAGCAGAATTAAATTGAAAAGTTTTCATTTATTTATTTTTTGATGCCTACTCTGTTATAAACATTCCAGTTTGTACAAATTTGCAGTGTAATAACATTTCTTTCTTATTCTTTCCTTGTCATGCATTAAAAAAATGCTCATTTGAATGTAATTGTCAATTATTTTGCTTGCATGCCTTTACTGTCTAAGGGGTAAAGCTTTTCAATATACTTACTGCTGCTTGATTATCCACATCTTCTGTGGGTTTTCTGCTCATGCTCTTGCCCATTTTCCTACTTGGCTCTTATTGATTTGTATGAGTTCTATATGTTATAGATAAAAATCCTTTTGTCTGTACTTATATTTGTGGAAAACTATTTCCCCAAACTGTTGTTTCTTTTTAATTTTATATCTGGTACTTTTCTGTCATAATTCTCTTAAGGAAAATTTTTATGTTTAAATATGTCAAGACTTTGTGGTTTCTTCCATTGTATTTATATTAAGCCATCTAGGTAAATATTACTTACAGCTTCCTCTTATTGGCTTTTATTATTAAACTCACTTTATAGACTTTCAGTTTACAGTACTTAATTAATTTTTCTTCTTATACAGTCAAAACACCTCTAAATATTATCACCCAATCCTTTTCTCACTGACAATTTAAAATCACCTTTATCATATTTTAAATTTATAGAACCATAGTTCTCAGCCTTGAGTGAACATTGGAATCACCTGCAAATTTAAAAAGCCTCTTGGAGCTTATACCTCATCCCAAAGGTTGATTGTTAGGGGGTCCACCTGGGTGTAAAGCGGGGAGAAGACCAAATCACTGCCAGCTGATTCTAACCTGCAGCCAGGGTTGACCCTGCTGCTGAAGAGTTGGGAACCTGGTTCTCAGCCAAGAGCAAGGACCAGAATCACTTATGGAGTCTGAGACCCCTCTGTTTCATTCTGGAGATTTTATTCAGTGAGTGTGGGCTGGAGCTTGAGCACATGGATTTTAAAAAAAAAATGCTCAGAAAGGTTTCTTAGTCCCTCCCTGGCAGAGAGGCAGGCCACTGACAGTGTTACTATCCCAGTTTCTTCATTTGTCAGGTTATCCTTGGGCTACACCACCTGACTTGATAACTGTTGTTTTATCATGAATTTTAATTATCTAGTAAGGCTAGTGCCCCCTTAGAGCTCTGGAAACAACTGGAGCTATTTGCTTTTGCCTATTTATACTTCTACATCAGTGGTTCTCAAGCTTTCGCCTTGGGAACGTGGCCAAAAACACAACGGGCTATGCTCCATCTGAACACACGGGCCTTGGCTTGCCCTTTGTTAGTGTTCTGGGTGATTCTGAAGCATGTTTGTGAACCATCTTCTAGAATCTAGATTATCCTCCCAGAAGGTTTTTTTTTTTTAATCTTATCAGGGCTTTCAACTAGATTTGCATTAAGTTTCCGACATGGTCTTCAAGACTCAACAAGGTTCATCCTCTCCATAAGGATTTCTCTCGTTGCTCCATCCCAACCTCATTATTCACACCTGCAAATTGATAATTAACTCACAGCCAGCAATTTAGCTTGTAATTCTTTCTTACCATGGAGTATGGGCGGCCTACCAGTGTGTAAGTGCCTGGAGGGCAGGGTCAGGCATACTTTTCCATAGTTTCCAGTGTGATACTGGCCCATGGAAGGCACTCAGTAAATCTTACCTTCATGATTTCCACGAATTCATGAAGTTTATCAAAATCTTTGTCCATTACATCTTTTATCTGATGAGGAAGAAAAGCATGATTTGACCAAGCACAGAGAATATTGTGGAAGTCAGTTGTGTCTTTGGGGTATTTTTAAGCAAAAGGCAGCAGCTGCACCTTGGACTAACAATGTCCTATTAAAGCCACGTTCTTCCCAAGGAATCTATGAAGGGTCTAGGGTGTACATGCCATCAAGTCGTCCCCACTGTCAGCCACGGTGTGGCTCAGGTCTGGCCACTGCCAGTCGTACATGTGGAGTTCAGGCCACAATTTCAGTCCTTCCTTTCTTGATTATTCCCTAAGTAGGCTATTGGTGGTTGTAGTATAGAAACAGTTCTTCCCAAGCAGCTGGCTCAGTAAGGTGAATAAGGAGGTGCAGCTGGTCTCTGGCTGCTCCCAAATTCCAAGTCAGCCCCTTCCACTCAGCTTTATCCCTGAGGTTCCATCATCCCAACTGTAACACCTTAGGAGTCCTCAGCCACTAGAAAATTGGGTCCAGGCATCAAACAAATTAGAAATGAGTATCCTAAGCTGCCCAACACTTAGCACTAAGAGGGATTAGGGTGGAGTTGGTGATTGCCTTCTCCTGCACTTCCCGATTCCCTTCACTATTCCAAGTTAGGAATCACATTTTTCTTGAAGCTAGGCTTTCCCTCCATATGATGTAAAGATTCACCCCATTACCTGTTTTATCTCTTCCATTTTTTCCTTGAGCTCTTCTCTCACCTCCCTGAGTTCACTCTGAGAAAATAAAATGGGGGAGAGAGAGTAAAGAAATGTCCTGCCTGGACGGGAAACTGGGTGCAGGAGGAAGGAGCGTTGTTGAAAGAGGAACAAGGAGATACTTCTATAGGGAGGAAAAAAAAGTGTTGTCCCCACAAGGGGTCTGGGGACCCACAGGCATCACGTGCCTCCCGCTGGCACTGTGCTGAAAGGAGCACATCTTCACTTCTTTGGAAGTTGACAGCCAGTGTCCAGGAACATCAGACCAACCCAAATTAGGGTGACTCAGTGAAAGAAATGACCTGTCATCCTCAAAAGTGTCAGTGTCCTGAAAGACGAAGGTTGAAGAACCATTCTAGATTAAAGGAAAATGAAGAGACGTGGCAATCAGAGGTGGGCAGGCTCAAAATGGCTGTGGTGAGGTCCCTTGCCGAGGCTTCTGGTGGGCCATGTTTTGGTAGATAAGCAAGGTCATGGACACCTGATTCAGTGAACGTCTTCAAGGTCATAAACATTTGCTGGTGAGCATGTGTCCACTTATGTAACCTGTCGGCAGTGTGCCTTCTTTGGCCTGCATGTTAAAAAAGGCCTATGGAAATGGCTTGGGGTTAAAGGGAACTGGCTGGGGGCTGGATCTGGAAAGCCGGGGGCTGGCTAAAGGCTACACGGCCTCTGCATGCAGCAAATCAACTGTCCGAACTGTGTCTTGCACTTCTTCCACCTGCTGGCATCCTGAATCTGTTTTCTGGGTCTGAGCCTCAGCAGAGACTGATGTGACTTTGTGAGCGACACTGCCAACAAGGGAGTTGCTAGATACAGAGAAGACCTTGGAAGCCGAGCATGTCACTGGAGGAAGATCTCTGCACCTTGGAAGTACTCTTTGGCCTCCCCCATTGTGCTGATGGAGTCCAAGGAGTAGGGAGATTAGCACCTGCAAGCCCAGCCAGGGGTGGTGCGGAAGGTGAAGGCAGCAGCTGCTGGCTCCGTGGGCACCCGCAGGGCCAGCGTGGGTAACCAAGTCCGCCACGTTCTGCCTATCAAGCGGAGTTGGAGGACTTGGGAGAATAGTTTAAGGCCACTTTGTTGTCATGCCTATGAGACTTAGGGGTGCTTGGAGCCAACAGGGGCAAGACCCCTCTGTGCTACGTGTCCTGCATAACCTTGTGACTCAGATGGGCTAGACGGTGCCCAGGTGTGCCAGGACTCACCAGAGACCAAAAGAGATGCAGCAGAGACAAGAGGCTTCAGGAGGTGGCAAGGCCTATTACTTATAGGGGAACCAGAAACAAGCCCAGACCTTGAAGGTAAGGCACCTGTACTGTCCAGTGTACTGATAACCCCAGATGTGGACAACTGCCTGTGTGGACAGTGGTGACTGAGGACCCAGAGACAGACTGGGTCACCAGTGGAGGACAAAATAGCCGGTGGGCTGAGCTGAATGGAAGGCAAGTGAAGCATCCCCGCAGTGGTGCACGCTGCCAGTTGTGTGTGTGGCAAGAGCTCCAGGAGCTTGGCCACCAAGAACAAATGACTGCAGGGCATGCTACTGGCCCTGCTCCCCTGACTAGCCCAGGGGGTGACAGGCAGACCCTTTGGCTAGGCTGCAGTGCTTCGAGAGGCCCCTCCGGCCGGCCTAGCGGATTGGTCGCATCCCCGCCTACAGCATGCAGGTGTGAACGCTGTGTGGGTCGCAAACAACAGGCCTGCCTTTAGCCCGGAGTGTCCAGATAGAGGCCTGCCATGCATGTATGGTTTGCACCAGGAGTGTCCACACCCACGACACCTGGGAGCCACGGGTAGCATAGCCAGGTAATGCGTGGACACATCCCCTTGACAGCATTGGCCCTCTACTGAGGTCAGAGGGGGCCCTGTTTGTTTTAACAGCAGTTGATCCAGTGGGTGGCCTGGCCTGGTGGTCAAGGGAATCAGCGTGCTATGGTTCCTGCCCTGACCGTGTTCGTGGCCTGCACAGCTGGCCCATTGTAATAGAGAGTGATCAAGGCCCCCATTTCTAGGTTGGGATGTGCAGCGGTGGGCAACTCCGGGTCAGATTCAGTGGGAGCTGAACATCCCACACCACCCACCGGCTGCAGGCATGAGAGAGAGAGAGGCCTGTTTAAGCAAGGACTCAGGACTGCAGTTGTCCCGCCTTCTAAGAAGGGAGGACACAGTGTCTGTGGGCAGTTACGTAAGCTCTGACTGAGCATCCCTGACCAAGGGGAACCAACTCCTGTGGAGGCTTTGCTGCATCACAGCAGTCCCAATATAGATCCAGGTGACAACAGAGGATGTTGCACTTAAATCTGGGTTTGGGAAGCAAGGGAATATTCTTTTGCCTGCTCTGACTGAATTGACTAGGGGGCACACTGTGGATTGGACATGGCCCCAGACAATAAAGGCCTCACACCTTTGTGGGTGGCCCTATCAGCCCCCTGGGGAAAAGATTTGGAGTGTGACCTCCTTGTAACACCATGGGTGACTAGTGAATGTTCCCCTCTCCCCCGCTGGTTACATGTGACTTGGCCAGGTCCTGCAAATGGGACACAGATTTTAAAGGGAACTTTTGCTATTTCCCTTCAGCCAATTATGAGTTCCCCAGTGATGGTGCACACAGAGCCTGCTGAAGTTCAGGGCCAAGCTGTGCAGGTATGGTACACTGCTTAGAGAAGCTGCCACACATGGCCACAGCGCTTTCCTGGGACTCAGTGCTGGCGTACGATGTCCTGGATGGACGTGATTTACCTGTACTAGTGCCCCTAACAGTTCTGGCCAACACCATCGTGGACTGGGCACACAGCTACCCCAGCGTAGCGAACACCTCTGCATGCTGGATATCCGTGCACAGAAGTGCCTGTGAGTTTGGCTGCTGGACAGCCCTGGTAAACCCAGACTGCTTCCTGGACAATTGGACATGACTAGGAATTGCCACCTCAATATGGGATGAAACTGGCAATAGTTTTTAGTAATCCTAGGTGACGGAGCTTATTTTCTGCTTATATGCTGTTGCAGGGTGGGGGATCTGGCTCAGCGGTAGAGCGCTTGCCTAGCATGTGCGAGGCCCTGGATTCGATCCTCAGCATCACATAAAAATAAATAAATAAAATAAAGGTATTGTGTCCAACTACAGCTAAAAAAAAAAAATATGTTGTTGCAGCTTGTATTGTTGTGGCCTGTGGATGCAGAGTTTTACCCTCCTGACTAAGGGATATTGTAGAAGACAAAAATGCATAGATTGTACAGTGAGAAGTCCTAAAGGGGTGGACTGTAGGGCAGGCCCAAATGGCTATGGCCAGGCACCCTCGCTAAGGCTTCCAGTGGGTTTCTTTCAGTACGTAGCCAAGGTTATGAACACCCTGATTCAGTGTATGTGCTCAAGGTCATAAACATTTTTTTTATGAACATGCGCCCACTTAATAACCTGTTGGTAGTGTGTCTTCTTTAGCCCGCTTATATTAAAAAACAAAAAAGGCTTATGAAAATGGCTCAGGGGCTTAATGGAGCAGCTGGGGCTAAATGGAACTAGCTGGGGCTGAAGAGCTGGGGGCAGGCTAAAGGCTACCACCACCTCTGAATAAAGCATGTCTACTATCCCAACTGCGTCTTGCACCTTATTCCACCTGCAGGGATCCCGAATCTTTTTCCTGGATCTGATACTCCGCTCGACAGGCAGCCTGTGGTCCTGGACTAGATCCTAGGCCAGAAAAAAAGGTGGGTTTTGTTTTTGTTATTAAAAACATTAGTGAAGCCAGGCATGATGGTGCACGCCTGTAATCCCAGTGATTTGGGAGGCCGAGGCAGGAGGATCAAAAGTTGGGGGCCTACCTCAGCACTTAGTGAGACCCTAAGCAACGTGGTGACACCCTGTATCAAAATAAAAAAAAATAAATAGAAATAGAAAAGGGCTGGGGATGTGGCTTAGTGGTAGAGTGCCCCTGGTTCAATCCCCAGGACCAAACCAACAACAACCCAAACAAATAAACAAAAACTGGAGAGAAGCAAGTCGCAGGGTGGTAGGTGCCTACAGGTGCAGCCACCAGAAGGTGACTGACTTCCAGCTCTCCAGGGCACTGGTCCTGTCCTGGTTACCTGGGCTTACACACTGACCTTCAGTTCATGTGTTATTCCTGCTTTGTTGAATGGACCTTGGTGTTTAACTCCTTTGTAATCACACATCTGTTGATTGAAACAGAAACAGAGCGTTGGAAACTAGGTATGTGGTAGGACTGCAGAGGCAGATCACCCTGAGTTTCTGTCCCTCCCTAGAGACAGGACAGAGGTGAAGGCTGGTGGCCTCACCTGTGCAGCAGTTTCCCTCCTCCTCCTCCTCCTCCTCCTCCTCCTCCTCCGAGCTCATCTTTGGGCCTCACTATTTCTGTCTCTTGGATAGATAAGCTTACTCCTCCCTGGGGGGCCTCTGTGTATGCGTCTCCCTTTACCTAGAAGGCTCCTCCGTCTTTGCCTCACCAGCATCTTCTCCTTCAGCTCTTGTTCCAAGAAAGGTCTTTCCCAACCACCCCATCTAAAGCAGGCACCCAGTCCCGCCTTTCTGTCTTTCTTCTCTGAGAAGCTGGTAATACTACTGAATTTTCCCATGTTTATTTACGAGTCTCATTGGTGGCTAGTGTGAAGGTCTACCAGAGCAAAGAGCTTGTCTCTCCCATGGCATCCCCACGGCACCTGGGATGGGTCTTGGCCACCACAAACAGCAAATGACCCCTGACTCCAAGTCACCTCCCCACGGATCTCAGGCCTGGCTGCTGGCATGGCCTCAATAAAGCTTCTTCCTTTGATTGTCTCTGGCTTCAATTCCAGGTAAACTGTCTTGTAGTTCTTGCCCTGCAGAGAGAGGAGGTGGAATTTAGTGAGGATTGGGGGAAGAGAACGAGGAGCCAAAGGACCTTCACCAACCCTCCCTGTCCAGCTGTGCCTGAGCCCAGGCTCACACACCCCGCTCAACCCCACCCTGTCCGGTGCCAGTGAGTGCTGCCCCCCACTCGGCAGGCAAAGGACGCTTGTGGAGGCAGCTCTGAGGAAACCTCCCAGGAGTCTGCTCTTGGGATCAGCAGACCAGGCCCCCCCTCAGCTATCCTTTCCTCTAGCTGCGCCCACTTGGGTGAGTTTTTAATCCCTCTGAGCCTCCGTTTCCTCATCTGTAAATAAAACATAATTCTATTTCACTAATAAGGTCATCTGAAGCCTTCGGCCTGCCGGTTGGATGCAGGCCTGACGCAGGCCAGCTGGGGTCATGAGGCTGCGAGAAGTCTAGGGGAGCAGGGAGGAGTCACCGAGTCTCTCCTTCCCGTCCCAAGGCCAAGCATTAATCCTGCACCCATTCCAGGCTGAGAGCCCGCTTTGTGCGGCTCTCAGAACAGCCAGAAAAGAGACAGAGAAGCCGAGGTGTGGTCAGAGCCTTCTTGGTATCTGTCCTGCCCTGTCTCCACTCAGCTGAAGCTCAAAGAAGCCCCCAGAGTCCAGGGGTGTTCCTCCTTTACCAAGCCTGTTTTCTTGAATTCTGCCCTCTTGGCTGACATGATGGAAGAAGCCAGGGTGCTCTTCAACTTCCCAACCTCCCCACAATAGCCCCCCGGGACCAGGCCACCGTTCTGTGCAACTTACAAGCCGAGGTGAGGGCAGGATGACCACCTCTTTGTGTGCGGAACAGCTGAGGTCATAATGCCTAGGACCCACACGCTGGCCTGGAGCATCACCACAGCTTTGGGCCCCACTGCCTCTGTCACTGAGATGAGGCTCAGACTGCTTCCAAATCCAGGAGGCCCCCTCTTGCTGGTTTCTTGGGAAGACTCACACTGCTGAGGACCATGGCCTGCCATGGCCAAAGCACAAGGCACACCTCCAGAGAGCCAATGGCTCTTCCCAGCGCAGGACAAACACTGACCAGGCAGAGCGGGCTCCTCCTAGACAGGCAGCCGGCTTCTCCTCTGGGCCGGTATCTTCTCTACTGCGTTCTCCCACCCCCACCCCCATCTCCTGCCTGGTTCTTCTGTCTTCCTGGAAGTGGGCTGGGGCAAGAATTAGTATCTGGACAGGGCTAAAGGCAAGAAAGCCTTTGTCGAAAGGAGTGGAACCCCAAAGGAAAGGCCATTCTGAGAGGTAGTTGTCATTTGTGCTTAAAATGGGGAGTCAAAGGCACGTGGCATTCTCATGGGGCCTAAAATCATTTAGAATCCCAGTTGGTGAGTCTAATTTCCCTTCTGTCCTAACTGGGTATCCCACTCCCTTCTCTCCCCTGGTTTCAAGGCCAACTAGTCGGCACAGAAAAGGCCAGCTCGGGCACCCAGAGCAGACAGCCCAGCAGCGGAGAGCTGATGCGGAATGCCAGCGCCCGTCAGGAAACAGTCGCTGCTCACAGTGCTTCTGATGCATTTCCTAGTGGTGACTGCCAAGCGTCCTAACTGGTGTCAGCCCTGGATGGGACTCATCACAACTGGAGGAGAACTTTTCTGTCACTGTTCAGCTGGGGAGTCGGGAGGGGTGGCCTCCTTCCCAAGCCTTGTTTCCTGCTGTGTAAATGAGAGTCCAGCTGTAAGCTTCCTTTTCCACCTAGCTCAATCCTCCCAGACCTGCTGGCCACAGGGAAGGAGGGCACTTACTCCAGGGTCCAAAGACCCTTGACAAGGCAGAGCAGGGAACTGTGGGAAAATGACTGGCTCCGTCTCAGCATTCCAGCTCTTGGGAGAGGGTATGTCTTTCTTCCTCTTGCTTTGGCTTGAGGGCCTCATGGACTGCGGCAGCTTCCTTTGCTTAGCTAAGCAGTTGTTAGGTGAGCTGCCTTCTAGCCAAGCACAGCGCAGGAGCTCACTGCCTTGCGCATTAGGAAAGTAGATTTAAAAGAATCAAGGGCTCTTTGTGAAACTGCTTTGTTAAGTAAATTATGTGCCCCCTCACACTTGCGTGTGCATATGATATCATCATTTGGACAGAAATCTAACAGCAGACCACAGCTCCGGGCTGTGCCTTCTCAAGTGTTTACCATACATCACAGTTGGTATTGATGGGTTCCGAATGGCTGGGGAAGTCCATTTGGTGAACCTGAATAAATGAGTCACATTCTTCTTTAAGAAGATTAGAAAAGAAGATCGTTTTGCAGCTGTGTGGAGACTGGGTTGAAGCAGTTCTGCTGGGACTGCCGCTGTGTGGCCTTGTTCCATGCAAGCTGAGGCCGCTCTCCCCAGAACACCAGGTGTGCGCTCCCGGACCCTCGGCAGTGCAGTCCATGTACACCAGAGCACCGAGCAGATGCCCACTGATGTTCCATAAGAATCTGGGAAAAGGGATATTTACAACCGAGAGGAAGAGGCAGCCATATGTCTCCTTTCTCCAAGTTGATATCATTTGGATTTATTTTCTTTACAAAGATCCTTTTTTTAAAAAAAACTTCCACTTTCATGAAAATAATGTTGAGGGAAGCTGGAGGGGGTGGTGTTAAAAAATGGACTTTAGCCTCTGACTTTGGCTTCTTGTGATTGCGGAAGTGCAAATTCCAGGCTCTAACCCACAGTGAAACCCAGGCTCAGTCACCTGTGTGGAGGCCCAGAGATCAGGAAGAAAATGTCTTGGTGCTTAGGGGCCTATTTGACCACTGGGGGCCCAATGTTCTAAAGCCCTTTGATTTGGGTGGAATGTTTCATTGGAGCTGTTTGATGGAGTTGATTGGAGTCGACATCTCCAATCAGTGTCACTGGACATAGTTCTGTATAGGTGAGCCAGCAGTTCATATCCCAATACACTAGAGTCTGGGTGGCCGTCCTCAAACAGGGAAGCGGCCTGCTTCATAGCCCCAGGGAAGCTCTTACATAAACCTTCTAGAGAATTCATACGATTGTTTCATGAACTGTCTTATTTGATTGATTTACAGACACCCTGGAAGGCTTATTCTATGCAGCACACAGATAATGTTAGTCATTGACACAGTGATCACCATGCAATTTCCAATCATTTCTGTAAATTGTGTCTGAGACTTTGGCTAGAATCTTAATCCTATTGTGTTGTTTCAGTGGGAAGACTATACAGTTTATATCATATGAACCTCTATTTCAGGAACAAAACATAATCTGAACAGCTCCTTGTAAATCTCCAGCTATTTCAATATAGCTGAGGGTGAGTGAAGAGTTTCATTAAGGTGGAGTGTGAGGATTGCTGGCTTCTCTCTCCTGTGTGTTCCTCACGATGGGGAGACACTTTCATGGAGCAGCCTGAGATGTGAGACCAGGCAAGAGCCATCAGCCCCCGGAGGCTCTTGGGACTTCCAGAGTTAGTTTTCCATCTTTGGACAGGACCCAAATCGGGGAAGGCAGTTATGTCCCTCCTGCCTCTTTTAGCTTCCCTGCTGACGGCTCTCTCCAGCTGCTCTTCCAGTCCCTCACAGCCTCCTCTCCATCTCTGACACCTTCAGATTCCCATTTGTCACTGAAACAAAGCCAAGGGACACCATATACTCTTTGAACTAGCTGTTTTGGGGGACTACACTTCATGTGGTGTCCTTCCTCACAGATGGAAGGCTCCATGGGTCCATCCTAGGAGGACTTGCCCACTCCCACTCACACTCCTGTGGCTGGAACATCACCCCAAGGCCACACCCGACTGCAAAGGACGCTGGCCAGTGTGGCTAAGCTCCTGAAATAGATCTAAGGAGCAGGCAACCAGTCCCTGCCCCACTTTCCTTTCTTATTTCACTCCACCAAGTATCCTTATAGGTAAACTGGATTTAGAGTTCTTGTGGCTTTAGAATAAAAGGGAGGTAATTTACAAGACCCAGGGGGAAATCTACACTGGATATTGACCTGGGATGAAATCTCCAATCCAGTGTGAACTAGCAAGGTTAGACCAATTTCTTTGTTACCTGGCTGGCCAATGGGTAGGGACATTGAGACAGAGATGATAATAATGATCTGTGTGTCCAGGGTTTTCCAGTACAAAAGCTCCAGTCTATCCCAGACCCACGGCTGAAGAAGACCCTGGAAGCCACCCTCCCACAGCAGGCTCATTCCCTCCTTCGCCACTAGAATGTGGGGTACGGGGTGAAGCTTCTCCTCCTGTTCTAAGTCCTCTGACGAGCACTGGCGCCCACTCCAGTTGCCCCAAACACCACCTGACCTGTCTGGGGTTTGCGTTTAGCCATTGTCCTTTTCGATGAGAACCTGTATCCTGCTTCCCAGGAACCTTTGTTTCTAGCCCCATGAAGCTCCCTGAACTTGACTCCTTCCTGAAGATGTCTACTCTGGGGCCCAATCCACCAGACCTGGACAAGAATTCAGACTGGACCAAGCATTTGCAGAACTTAGAGATAGTGGTGAGGTTCTCCACATCTGATTTACCTCCTTCTCTCGGGCATTCTGCCCCTGAGGTCATTAGCAACTCTGAGATGAATTCACGTGAAGACTCTTCCGGAAGTGTGAATCTTCTTCCCTTGTAGAGGTTCTAGGGCCTGGACTGGGGACAGAGCATTTCTTTCCTGAAACTTGGAGATCTGAGGTGAATGCTCGAATGAGTCTCCAGATGGAGGAGCCAATGGCAGATTTTGAGAGCCATTGTGGAGCAAGCCCAGGTAAAAGAGAGAAGTGAGAGGCCAAAAAAACAGCCAGGGCTCAGCCAGTCTTGGCGGAAGCTCTCAAGGTGCCTGAGTTGTGAGCAGGAGCATCTGAGTGCTCTTAAAGACTAAGAAGTAGGTGTTTTTTTTTTCCTTTTAAATTTTGTTTTTGTGGTACTGGGGTTCAGACCCAGGGCCCCAACATGCCAGACAGCTCAACAACTCTACCACTAAGCCACATCCTTGGCCTGGATTTTTTTTCCTTTATTGTTAGAGAGCATTGGTAGGCTGTCTGTTTTCCTAGAACTTGAATTCAATGGATTCCACATTTTTAAAAAATTTAATATCAAGGTATGTGACTGCTCTGATCCAGCTTAGACTTAACAAAGCTAAAAAACCATGCAGGCAGGTCCACTTTGGTATGGAGGATGTGAACTGGGCTTTGGTTTATCTCCCAGGCCTACGATGAGTCATGAGCAGAGCGCAGGTGCTAGCTCTCAGTGGAAGCTAAATCTGAACCCAGAGTCTTCAAGGTGGTTCTGAATATTGTTCCTGGGCCTCCAACCCTCTTTCTCCAACCCTCCTAACAATTAAAGCAGCTTAATGTGGATTCTCTTTGCCACCAAGACCCTGATGGAGTTGGCCACACTCCTGCTCATCTCTGGGAGATCCCACGTGTGCATCAGACTGGGGAGTTGTGGGGCGAGGTGCTTTCTGCCGCATCCGGCCTCAGGAACCGAGTCCGGCGAGGGACGTCGAGGTTAAAAAAAAAAAAAAAATCACAGGACACCAAGGTTCTTCATCCAGGAGGAGGCATGTGTGCCGTTTATTATCCAAGTTTTTTCCCTTATATATATTTCTATAACTGCAGTGGAAATTTAGCCAAAACAGGGGAGGAATAACACCTGCTACTCTTGGGTTACCGTGACCGTCCCTTATCAGGAAGCTCCGAGAAGGCCAAGATGTTCCCAAAAAGGCACATATGTCTGAGGCAGACAAACATGAAACCGCAAGCCTGCGTCACAACCCTGTGAGCTGGCCACTTTGACATGCAGAACAAGGAATTGGGAGTTGAGTCCCCAGGGGCCAGGGCAGGCCTGCTACCAGCAGCTTTTGTCAGTGAAGAAGGGTGTCCCCACCCCAGTGCCAAATCACTTGTCTTGCTCAAGTTTGTTCATCTCTCTGAGCGTCCTCCCCTGTACCGTGGGGATCATGGTGGTCTCTCTGATGTGGCTGTCATGAGGATGGCAGGGACAGTCTGCTCCAACCTGGCCCTCACATGCTAGCTCCTTCTCCCTTCCCAGTCCCCTTGTCCCTCTCCTCCACCCTGCCCCTAGCTCCTCTGGCTCTTGAGAATCCCAGGGGTCTACTCATCTGGCTTCTGACACCCTGCTCCTTCCCTCCACCAGCAGCCAGCACCTAGGACAGGCTCTGCTTATTAATGACCTGATCCGGGTTCCCTTCTGCCTAGTTGAGGGAGGACCAGGATATCCGTGCTTTACTCTGATGCCTCCCCAGCCCTCACCCTGGGCCTGGAAGCAGCAGGCATGGAGTGAGTATTTGCTCAGTCAAATCTGTCAGTTTGGATAGCAGAGAGAAGAACGGAGAGCAAGGAAGAAATGACCAGGAGGCCAGGCAGAGCCTCTGCCAGAAGCCAGAAGGCTTTCCACCTGTGAGCTGCACCCCAGGGGCCTGTCCTGTCCCACAGCCATGGCGCCACGGGGCCTGCTGCTCTCCCTCTGCACAGCAGGTAAGACCCACTGACAGGACGTCGGGACTGAAGGGAGAGGGAGCAGCAGTGACTGCTGGGTGGGCAAGGGGGCATTGCTCAAGGCCTGGAGGGGCCCATCCCAGGGTCTTGGTACCCCCAGGTCCCAGGCCTATCCCAACTATTGGGTGTGATCCATTAGTGTGACCCCAGAGCCCACCAGTTCAAAACATGAAACAGAGTAGAATCAAAAATATCAAAATGAGTCACACATCCTAAGGAGAAAACATTCTTTTCTATTCTCTTTCTCCGGCACAGGGATTCTCCAGCCCTTCTTGGTGACAGGCGGCATCTTGGACTTTGGTGGGTGTGAGGAGCTTCATTCTTCCTGGCAGATGCCTGATCAGTCCCTTCCCTGTCCTCCCTGTGGCACATTCTTGCCCCTCTGTATGCCCAGGTCCCAGTCTTAGTTTCCTCTCCCGGGACATCTGGCTCGAGGCCCCCTGGGATCCTAGCAGTGAGCCCTCATTCCTGTCTGCCCCCTGCACAGGCAGGACCTGGCAGAGGAGTCCTGGGCCAGCTGGCATTTGCTGGGAGCCCCATAAGGGGAGAGAGTCAAGGCAGGAAGAAAGTGAGCATGGAGCTCTCGGGGCTCGGGCTGAGTTCCTGGGAGAAGTTCCCCGTCTTCTGCCTTCCCTTCTATCACACTGAGCACTCCCCATGTGCCAGGCGGGCACCAGGGCTGCAATGACAACTCAGGTGTGCTTTGTGCACCCAGCTTGCTCAGACCTGGTGGTGCAGACAGACAGGAAGAGAAGGCCCTTGCCCTGGGAGCAGTTTAGAAATCCTGATGCTGGTCACAGTAACTCAGATCCTTGCTCTAAGGTGGAGCTGGGAATCCACTTCTTTAGGAGCCACTGGGGGACTACTGTGGAGCCAGCTGGGAGCCCTGGCCTAGGGGCAGTACTGGACCTGGGTGCTCCACTCGAGGTTCTAGAGTCCTGTTTTCACCCACTGGGTGGCCTTGTCCAGGCCATTTAACTGTGTGACTTGGTTTCCTCATTTGTAAAGCAGGCCTCGGGCTATCCCAAGGAGTTGTTGGAAGAATCTGGTGAGCTATGGCACGTCATAATGCTTAGTAACGCACTACCCATTGTTATTAATTCCTAACAAAGGGGCGCTGCAGCACATAGGTGGGCACTTCATGCAGGACCAGCAAAGGGGGTGGTGACCGATTGGGAAATTAGGAGACTGAAGGATTAGCTGGGGACGGCCAGCCCTCCCAAAACAAGAGCACAGCTAGTGCAGAAGGGGGGGGGCAGGGCTGGGTGCATTGGAGGCCAGAAGTGAGGGAAGGACTAGGGTGGAGTGGGGGCAGCCAAATGTTAACACTGCTCTTGCTCCAGCCTCCAGGCTGGTGAACAACGGCAAGTCCTTTTCCCGGGAGGACCAACCCCTGAGCTGGAGAGAGGCCATGGATTATTGCCGGGACTTCCACACGGACCTCCTCAGCCTGCAGAGCATGAGCAGCGTGAGCAGCTTGATGACCATCAGCTCGCTCATCCAGCCCACCCAGGCGTGGATCGGCCTCTTCTTTGACATGAGTATTTCTGGCCCCCGCTGGTCCAGCGGCTCTCCCTTCATTGACCTGAAGTGGATCCAACTGCCTGCCCTCGGGGAGGGCATGTGTGTCACGCTGTATTCTGTTCTGTCCTTTGCTCCCATGCTGGGGGTCGACGTCTGCACGGCACAGAAGCCCTTCATTTGCTATAAAGGTGTGTTCAGGTTCAAGTTCTGAGCCTAGCCTTCTTCCTCCCAGGTGGCTCTTGAAGAAGCATGTGATGGGGAAGGGGGAGGCGGGGACTTTTATGGAGTAACAGGCTGTTACCTTTTTTGCCATGTTACCTCTTCTCTGTGGCCTTCATTTCTATTCCCACCCCATTCCCAAAACCCCATTAGAGAAATGGGTACAAGTCAGGATACAGAAAAAAATATGGAATGTTCCACTGTGTCTCTTCCTTCTGTCAGTAAAGGCTGTGGACATGGAGAGTCCATTTGCACTATGCAGAGTTTGAGGTCTTCCCTTTCTCATGGTTATTGCCTTGTTGGTGGTGGGAGAGTGTGGAGTAGCCACCCCTGGGAGACGCCCTGCTTCTTGGGAGCTCAGTGGGTGGAACCAGTCTCTTTGGACACCTTTTCAGGAAGTCTGCCATCAGTACACGATGACATGGTGCTGGCTCTCGGGAGCAGCCTCCCATCCTTGCCCCTCACCTGTCTGGTCTTGCCCCTGGTAGCGCAGTCCTGATGCTGAGAAGATCATGCAGGGAGATGGGTGAAGACCACACAGCATTTTCCTGATAAAAAGGGCCAGTTTCTGCTTTTTTTCGTCAGTCAAGGCTCAGCCCAAATCCATACCATTCTTTCCATGCAAATAGGGGAATGGAGGTCAGCTTGCTCTACTCCCAAGTCACGGCCACACCATGTCTGTCATGGGACCTTGAGTCATCATCGCCTGCAGTGGCCTAGAGTTGGACTCTGGGTTGCCAAGAGAATAAAGAGATTTCTTCGGGTGATAAGGGGGCCTGGAGTGAGGAGACCTTGCAAAGGAAGGACTGTATGGGGGTCTTTCCCTGCTCCCTCCATTGTCTTAGAACTCCATTCAGACATGTCCTGACCCCACGCTCTCCTTCTCTGTTCTGTAGACCCACTGCCAATACACAGGCCAAACCACCATTCTCTCTTCTGAGTGGGCCCTCTTGCTGCTTCAGTCTGTTCTGGGCACACAGTCAGCTTTAAAAAATAGAAATCAAGCCAGGCGCAGTGGCGCAAGCCTGCAATCCCAGCAGTTGGGAGGCTGAGGCAGGAGGATCTCGAATTGAAAGCCAGCCTCAGCAATGTCAAGACCCTAAGCAACTCAGTGAGACCCTGTCTTTAATAAAATACAAAAACTGAGCTGGGGATGTGGCTCAGTGGTTGAGTGACCCTGAGTTCAATCTCTTGTATCCTCCCCTCAAAAGAAACAAACAAACCATAAATCAGATTACTGTCTTTAAACATGGTCAGTAGGTCCTCCTAGCAATTAGGAGACCATCCTTCTTACAGCCAACAGGCCCTGCCTGCCCTCTTTGGCTTCATCTCCATCCTTCTCTCCAGCCACATCTTTCTGCTCCCCAGACCCATACAGCTCCTGCCCACCTTGGACCTGTGCCCTTGCTCTGCCCAGGGCAGGCTGGCTCCTTCTCCTATTCTTTTCCAGAGCAAACACCCTGCTTATTTTATTGCTGCCACTTCCAGGGACATAGAATAGCACTAGCCACCCAGTAGGTGCTCAGGATATATTTACTGGATCAATGTAGAAAGGAAGGAACCATCTGTCCAGCCTTCAGCGAGGCTTCTCTGGGCTCTAACTTGGCAGCAGCTGGTGCCCACAGAGGAGCCAGGGCAGCCTCACCCTTGCCCGCGTAACTCAGGCTGTTTCTGTTTCACAGACCCTGATGTAAGGTACCGCATCTCCGTGGAGCCCTATCTCAGCCTGACCACTCTTCCAAAGCAAGGTATACACCTGCTGCATTTTCTCTTTTCTGCTTGAACTCCTCTACCTGGCTGGGTTGCCTCTGCTTCCGTACCCCTGCCCGACTGGCCATGGGCTCCGCTGTGCCCAGAGTGAAACCAAGGGAGAGATTAGTTCCTTTGTTATTCAGATGGGTCCAGAGGGGGAGGTGACATGCTTGACTAGGTGACTTGGGCAGTGTCTCTTTACACCCTGTGTACTAACCCATCCATCTAGAGAGGGTGATTTCTCTCTCAAATTTTAACCCCTTGGATGTTATTACTCTATAGAGTTTCTTCATATCTGATAGAAAGAAATTCTATGACAAAGTACAGTTGATCCATTGCTTTGTACGGTTGGCTGGATAAGCACGGGTAGAGGGAATGGCACAAGCTTCCAAGGCAGGTGGACCTAGGTTTGAGTCTCTTCTTGATAGTGAATCTGACATGAGTTTAGGTGAGTTATGTCTCCTTTAGTCTCCTTTCCCTCGTCTGTGACATGCAATTAATATCTATGTCTCAGGAATAGAGTATTTAAAAAGATGATATAGGCCACATGCATAGCTCATGGCAGGCATATACCAGGTGCTTAATAGAGGATAACTTAAAAAAAATCAATTTAGATAAGGAAAGTGTTAGGGAAATAGTGGTAAATTGGGGGTGAGCAAGCCTGTGGGAGAGTCTGGGAGGCCTTATTTGAATGTTCGGATGTGCCCCAGGTTCTGCACACAGTGCTTCCTTTCCAGGCCTCCGGAATCAACACATCAGGTTGGGTGCCAGCTGCTCACATCCTTTCCAAACTTTCCGTGTGTGGAGTTACAGAGGCCTGGGCTTATGTACTGCAGAGGAGAAGGGCCTGGCGGTGGGCAGCCTCCTTCTGGGACCTGGCCCAGTCTAGTGCCAGGGAGGGACTGGAGGTTGTGGAGGTGGGAGGCTGGTACCTGGTCTGCTCCTTGGGGAGCAGGCCACGGGGGATGGTCTGCTGCGCCTGCTCCTCAGGTCTGCTGTGCACCAGGCTCCCCTCTTCTCCCTGGCTTGCCTGACACTGTGAGCCTAGGCACATCCCACTGCTCCTCCATTCTGCCTCCGCCCTAGAGGCAGGTGTAGCCCCTGGAGATCACAATGAGGCCAACTCAAATCAGGATCATCTTGACTCCCTCCTAACTTTCCCCCAAACCGTAACTACCATTCTATTAAGTGCTGTTTGCATGCACTGTGCTCAGCTAATTATATACCTGGTTTCACGTGATCCTGACCTTAAGTACTATTATTATCCCTACTGGACAGATGAAGATATCGAGCCTTAAACTTAACTCTTAGGGCCATGTGGTCATAAGAAGAGCTCTTAATTCCTGCTTTCCTTAATGTTTTCTCCCATAGATTAGCTATGATATCTGTCCCATCCATTTTCCCAACCTGATATTTAGTCTGTCTATAAAATTGTGGGTTTTTTAAAAAATACTTTTTTTATATGTTGGTGGACCTTTATTTTGTTCATTTATTTATACGTAGTGCTGAGAATTGAATCCAGTGCGTCACACATGCTAGGAAAGCACTCTACCACTGAGCCGCGACCCCAGCCCTTAAAACTGTGGTTTTGATCAAACTTAACACCTGAGGACTGGGGACCACAGCTCTGTCCCAGGGGCAACGGAGGCTGGGCTATCAGAGATCCAGGACTTCAGGCCTGTGATCTCTGTTCTCTGCCCCCAGCTGAGGTCCAGATTGGTGGATATACCTTCATGAGATTTGAACAAGTAATGACGTGGACCTCGGCTCTGAAGTACTGTCGCAGCCACTACACAGACCTGGCCGACCTGCAGACGGTGACCGATGAGGCAGGCCAGCAGGCCCTGAAGTCCGTCACAAAAGAGACTGAGGCTTGGATTGGCCTCTACTTCAATGCAAATACCAGGTCTCTGAACTGGTCCAGTGACTTGGGTGCCAGCATCCCAAGCTGGCTTCTGGTGCCTAAGTTTGACCGAGGACTGTGCGCAGGACTCCGGGCCTACTCAAAATATGACCCTCAGGTTTACACAGTGGTCTGCTCTTCCCTGCAACCCTTCATCTGCTTCTACGGTGCGTGAGAAGTCACTTCTGCTGGCCTCAGGTCACTGAGGCTAAAACAAGATGGGAAATGGGTCCACTTGGCAGCAAGAGACAATAAGGCTAGACCTGAGGAAGCACTTTCAGGCTTCGAGAATAATAATTTTGAAGCAGTTTCCTAAGATCCTTATACTCTAAACTTGTGATAAAGTAATATTATTTTAATTCTGGGGATCTTTAGGGAATGGAATAGAACCCCTCTAGCCTTAGGACACGCGCAATTAGCAACAACAATGTTACTGGAGGATGAAATGAGTAAGATCCTGGGGTTTGGAATCAGGTAGATTTCAGCACCGTCTAGAAATCAGGTGGGCAGCATCTCTGAGCTCATCTCTCAGCATCTCTTTTCCTCATCTCGGAAATATACTTAACAGAGTGAGATTGCTGATCCCAGCTCACAGGACGGCTTTGAGGGCTGCCTGGGGGGAAGGGCCTAGCAGAGACCCTGGCCAGAGTGATCACTTAACAAATATCAGCTATTTCCATTTTTATTGTCACTCTGAAGGTACTGGGACCGGAGGCCTCTCCTGATCTGTGTATAATCACGACTCCTTACCTGTTGGCAGTCACTCCCTGCTCCCCCAGCAAGCCCTCATCTACTGTCCCTCAGCGGGGGTGGAGGGCTGGGGGTTGACCTATTCCTGGCTGTTCCTTTTGGTGTTTTGGAAATGATGAGAATCCTGATCCTTATCTGTAAAATACATAACAACCTCTTGACTATTGTGAGGACAGGAGATGGTGCGGGGACCCCTCCCAGTGAGTGATCAGCACACAGTAACCCAGTAACTGCGCCCTTTTAAGTCTGGCTGCCTTGGCAGGAGGACAGGGTGCCTGGTGTGACTTTTCAAGGCTGATAGCCTGCTGGGCGTGACAGACAGACCCTGCCCTCATGCTTTCTCTTTGTATTTTCTTGCAGACTCTGTCACTGGACACAGGGAGTTGGCAGAGATGCCTCCGCTCCTGTCTGCTTCCTCCTCCGATGTTACTGTGGGGACCATAGGTGCTTGAGCCTGGTTTTGACTGGATCTGGAGTCTTCCAGGCTTAGGGAAGTAGAGAAGGTGGCTTGCATGCAGTAGCCCAGGTTGGGGGCCCCTGGGACTCACCCACAAGAGCCAGTGAGGGACCAGAAATGAGATGAGCCAACTGGTGGCAACCGAGGGCCACTTATGCAGGGGAGACTCTGCTCCAGACACTGCAGGGTCATCCAAGGGTAGGGGGAGGAGGACTTGATCACCATCAACCTCCCGTCTCCTTGAAATAGGCCTCTGAACTTGTAGCTCCAGGGCCAGGGGACCCCTGAGAGGCTGTGCAGTCTTCTCAGGTGAGGTGACTTAGACCTGGCCCAGGGAGAGAGAGAGGCTGAATAATGCTCCCGGAGAAAAATCATCAGAGAGCTCTTGAGGTCCAGCCCCAGAGAGGGAAGCACCATAGAGGGGCCAGTCAAAGTGCCTTCTGATTAGGGGATCCTCTCTGGGGAGAGAAGAGGAGAGATGGGACTACATATGGGGACGTATCTGTGAATGACAGTGATAGCTATTAAGCTATTATCTCATTTTGCTTCCCTGGAGTTCTGAAGTTAACTAGCATAACTGAGAGCAAAGTTACAGTTCTTCTAGTCTCCTTATAAACTCCCACATCAGACAAAAGTGTCATTTCCTTTTTTGAGGATACAGAGAAGTTAGGGGAATTGATCAAGGTCAAACAGAGCTTTTATTAATCCACTATTCAAACATTAAAAAATGGTGATGGAGCCTGCCCCAGCCCAGCAACTTGGGACACAGAGGGTGGCAAATTCAAGGTCAGCCTTAGTAATTTGGCAAGGTGCTAAGGAACTTAGTGAGTCCCTGTCTCAAAACAAACAAACAAAAATAAATAAATAAAAAATATAAAAGGGCTGGGGATGTGGCTCAGTGGTAAAACACCCTGGGTCCAGTCACCAGCACCAAAAACAAAAACAAAACCCAACAACCAAAAACCAAACCGAAACTCCAAAACCAACAACAGCAAAACTTGGTGTAGTGGTCACGGGTATGGTGGGACTCAAGGAGAGCGCCTCAGCTCCTGTTAATTATCCGGTATCTGGAGGGATGACTTTACCACTGGCTGAGGAGGAATTGGCTTGCAGCACCCCGGGGCGTTGGGTGGGCAGCTAAGAGGAGCTGCGAGTGTGCGCATGTGCGGGCGGTGGCGCTGAGGGGTGCAAGCCTCCTTTCTCTCCAGAAACTGCTTCAAAGCCTGTCTCCCTGCTCTAAGGTCTAGCCTGGCACCCCCTGGTAGTCCCAGGCCCTCTGCCTGTTTGGGCCGGCCCTGGTGGGGTCACTCCTGTGCACCCCAGCCTCCGAAGGCCGGCCACCTCCAAGCCTAGCAAAAGCCCCAGGCCTGACGCAGGGTCCTTCCCTCCACCGCTTCTGGCGCCACCCTGGCCCCACTTTGGCCTGTGGCTGGGTCCTTGAAGGGGTCCTGGTCTCAGCTGATCCCACAGTAGTCTTCTCTCCTGCCCTAGGGACCAGCCTCAGCACCGCGGGTACCTTGCAGGACCAGGTTACAGCAGAGTGGCCACAGCAGCCGGGGAGCCTGCAGCCCACCACCCAGGTGCCAGAGACCCCTATGCTCCCCCTCAGCAGGCCCCACGATGCCCCAAGGGACAGTGTCAACAAGCCCTCTGGCAAACCCCAGGCCCCTGGGAGGTACCTCCAGTCCCCAGGAGGGGCTCAGGATCCTACTGGCCACTGCCCAGAGTGCGTCTGCGGACTTTGAGCCTCTGTCACTCAGCCCCACTGGTCTAGCGTCTCCAGGAAGCCCCTCCATCCCACAGGAAATGGCCAAGACCTCCCTTGTCACCACTGAGAGCATTGGTGACCCTGTGCCCTGGGGGGACTCTATTACCCATGGTGGGCTTGTGACTCCGCAGGAGGTGACTGAGGACCCCTCACTCGCCTCCACCCGTGATGCCCCAGCGGCTCCTACGTCAGCAGGTCTGCCTGGGTCCTCCACATTCACCTGGTCTCGCGGCTCCGAGCCTCTGGGGAGCTCTTTAGGGCCTGAAGAAAGAACTTTGGCCGCACCAGTCTCAGGGAACCCAGCAGAGTCCCAAGGAGCAACTGCGCACCCTGCGTCAGCAGCCCCGAGCCAGGCAGCCCCGAGCCAGACAGGTGAGAGCCGGCCAGTCCACCAGGCGACCAGCACGGTTTCATGAAAGAGGTTCGTGGCATAGACGTTAACTAGTGAGGTGGAAATAACACAGGCCCAAGCACCTTTTTCTATGACCAGGTCCCAGCGGCTCTCCCCTCGAACCACCCGGTGGGGCAGCAAGGCTTACTCAGGACTAGCAGGAGGGAGAGGGAGAGAGAGGGAGGGAGGGAGGGAGGGAGGGAGGGAGGGGGAGAGAGAGAGAGAGAGAGATGAATTCCAAGGTCAGGGTCAGTGATTGGCCTCAGGGTTAGTTGTCAGTCACACCCCCACACGAACAGGCTCTTGCACCTGGAGAGGGTGGGGAAAGCTCCCACACAGTTTGGCCAGCGCCTCACACCCAATCTGGGAGGTGCCCAATCACGTGCGAGAATGGCTTCCCACAGGCCAGGAACTCAAATGCCAGCCCACCCAAGTCTCTGCTGGGTGAGCACTCACTCCGGCCTGGGTTGGAGGCCCTTTCTTGGGCTTCAGAGGCCAGACCCCAAGCTGGGGAGCTGAGGGCTGGAGTTGCATGTTAGGCCATGGTCAGCTGCGCTGTATCCCAGGTCACTGTATAGGAGCTCCATTTTGGTTACAGCCAGTTCACCAACCCACCTTTCCCCCAGTAATAATTTAGGATGGAGATGGGAGTAGGGCAGGGAGATAGATATGCGAGAGAAATACTCTATTTTACCTGCAAGAGCAAAGTCTGACAGCCAAAGGTTGGAACACTGGCTGAACTACTTACTGTGTGGCCTTAGGCAAGTTTTGCAATCTCTCTGAACATTATTTCTCTAATCTTTAAGGAAAATGCCATAAAGGGCCTCTCAGTTCTCGAATCTGGTAGACAGTTAAAGGTAATTGTTACCATTTTAATCTCAATTCACTAGTAACAGGCTTAATACCCTAGCTTCTCCAACCCCGTCCTTACCCTTACTCGATAGATGGGGCTCACCTCATTCTCATTTTATTAGTTACACACGATTATGAATTGTCAGGATTGCAGACCATCGGGAAGGAGCTGTTTTGTACTTCTTTTTCTCTCTCCCATGCCTAGAATGCTGTTTTGCACATAGGTGGCCTAATTCAATAACATCTTTAGTACCTGTTTTGAACAAGGTTTAATATAAAGTAGTAATTGGACAAAAGATAAAATGAAGAATTTCACTGGCAAGAAGTACCACCAGAAGGTTCTCCCTTGCCTGGGCTAAGGTGGATATCAAAGTGTGTGGTTTGTTTGGGGCTGTCAAACAGTCTAGTGTGACTGGGGAAAGGAGTGTCAGGGCATGAGGAAAAAAAGGTGGACTGGGGCCTAATTCTACAGTTAAATAAGCCACTAGAGGATTTTAGCAAATGAGCAAAATGCTCAAATTCATTGCTTCCAGAAGCAAGGGGGTAATGACAACATGGGATTAGCATTAGGATGCTAAATTTAAAAAGCATGATTCCAGTTATACACACAATAGTCCCAACAGTGACAGGAAACAACCATCAATGGTTAGAAAAAGATTGGGAGGAAATGTGTGAAAATGTGATGAGGATATGGGTGTCCCCAACTTTCATGTTTCTAAATTTCACAAATTTGTTCATTTACTGAAGAAAAGTATAAGGCTTTTCCTGGGGAAAGTAGAGAGGAGGCCATTAGGAGAGGTGAACTAGGAAGTACGTAGGGAGGGCTGGTGCACAGCACAGGGAGCAGAATCCAGGTGGGATCTGGGGGTGCCGGGTGGGGAGCGTCACGAGGGAATCGATTTTACATTGTTCACAAGTGACACCAATCAAAGAAATACCAATACAAACACATTAAATGCGTAGTTCACTAAATCATAAAAGTGCAGATTTAAAAAAAGATACTTAAAAATTATTTAAAAATTCATTTTTTTCCACCTACCAATTTGGCAAAGATTTGAAAGGGTGGTGAGAATGTAGGAAAAACACAGCTTGCCAACACAGGGGCTTGGTGGAAACTAGTGCTGCCCTTTGGCCAGAGGGTGTCAAGTTTTGAAAGGTGCAGGAATTTTCCTGCTGAAATTCTGCCCTTAGAAATAAGGAAATAAGAACTGAGTACAGCCATGCACCCACACCCTCCACACAGGGCTGTTTGCTGTGGCATTGTTTTCTACAGTGAAAAATTAGAAACAATCTAATGTCTATTGAAAGCAGATTGGTTAAATAAGTTATGTACATTTGACGAAAAACTATGCAGCCTTTAAAGGAAATAAGGTAGGTCTTTATGCCTTCAAATGTTTAAAATTCAATGTGTGAAAGATATTTTATGGCAAACTGTATTGGTCGTCCCTAGGTTGGATAAGGGGGGTACTTTTGCTTAAATAATTTGTAATAATATACCATAAAATATGGATATGTCCATATTTTAAAAAATAAAAAAAGACCTGCAAGCCACCGACAGGATTTGGTGACAGAGCATGAGAGAGCTGGGGAGACTAGGACATCTCAGTGTATGGCCAGCTACACAGGAAGAGGGAGGATGCTGGGAAAGAGGCTGCGCTTGGTTTGGGGTTCTATCCCTTGATGAGGTATCAAGTGTCCCTGGTTGCCATGGTGAGGTTGTGTGTGACTGGCAGATAACATAAGGGCATTGGGCTTCTTGGGCTGTGAACTACTGAAAGAAAAAAGTAGGACTGAGGACAAGCCTCATAATATTGCTCAAGTCCTACAAATTCTGACATTGGGGTGCTTTTTGAAAGATAATGGTGTAGCAACTCAAGGGCTGTCATGAGAGCCTGCAGGGGTAAGTTGAGGATTGGTGGGAACTAAGCTTCCCACAAAAGGGTGGTTTCTGTAGCGCTGAGTACATGGCAGTGGCTGCCTTTCTGACTCCGTGTCAAATACCTTACTCCTGGCTGAAGTTGCAATAAGCCTTTATTTCCCCCTTCTCTAGCTGTGACAAGAGTAGACAGTTGCACCGATAGAGACATAGTTACTGCCACTCGGGTCCAACATTTAAGCTCATCTAGCCACCCAGAATCTAAAGAAAAAACATCAGCACCAGAATCAGGTAACTGCTTCTATTTATCAAGTTCCCACTCTAATAACTGAGTAGTTAAGTCTGGACAGTAGGTCCTTAGTCCAGGTTGTCAGGACCTTTTTGTGAAAGACAGTATGGAATGTTGGGAACAGGGATAGGAATTAAAGATGTGGATTCTAGTGTGATCTCTAGTGACTACAATGAACACTTGAGGGGCAGTTTTCCTCACTTCCTAGTCTCTATTTCTCATCTTCAATAGGGACACAGAAAAGTACCTGCCTGGATCACAGGTTTGTTGTGGATGCTCAATGAGATACTTATGCAAAAGTACATTCTAAACTATAAAATGCTATCCAATTATAACAGTCCTTCTATGAGGCTGTAATTCCTATGGTGATTATGTTTGGCTCATGGCAGAAAACTCTACTTCTGTAGAGTTTTCTGGGGCAGAGAGCCCCCAGGAAGCGAGTATTTCCAGCATAGTGTGGAACATCTCCTTAACAGATTAAAAGGAAGGCAAAAAATACAAAAGAGTTGGAAAATAATTCCTGATGGGAGGCCAGGATGTGTGTGCATTTGTGTGTTTGTGTTTCAGGGGGAAGGGGGACCAAGTTACACAAGTTTCAGGGGGGGAGGGGACCAAGTTACAAGCGTGGGACTATTCTTTCAAGACACTAGTTGTATGGTCCTAATTGTGGCTGAGCATTCTCTTGGTCCTCAGTTTCCCTTCTTTTTCCTTTAGAACTCCTTAATCACCACATTGCATCTATGGTATCCAAGGGCATTACTGACTGCTGTGAACTTCAAGTTTCAAGCGGTTACAGGTAATCCCCCTGAACTAGGAAGCACTTTCTTTTTCAGGTGCTTACTCTTTTGGAATCCTGAAAGCAGATTTTGCCATTTCAATTTCGATAGACCAAGAAGAGATGAAAGACCAATTTTTGAGAGAGGTGAGACTTCTGTCCTCTTCTAATTCTGATCAGTCTGATGACTTGACAGTGCAAAGTAATATTATCAAAAACAATATATTTAGGAAAAAAATACGGAAAAAAACCCATTTTGTTCTGCCATCACTGGGGTTCTTGGTGACAGGTTGGTTATGTGCCAGGATGTTTTCAGATCTTTTTCTTAGCCTTTATAACATTTTTCCTGAGCTCTTTTTTTAACCTCCTTTATTTTTGGATCAGGACAGCCAGAAGGACCTGAGTTCAAGTCTTGGCTTTGCACTTATTTGTGTAACCTGGGCAAGTAACTCAGTCTCAGTGTCAATTTCCTCATGAAATAAGAACCTAACTCATATGGTTGATGTTCTGATTAAATGATAATATTCCATACAAAGTGCTCAGCAAATTGTCTGGCACACTTTGGTACTTAAAAAACATTCTCTATTAATTATCAATATTAACATTATAATGTGTTCTGAATATATGTTCTAGACCTTTTTCTTCTTGTTCTTTCAATGTATTGTGGGATAGGAGATTGTGAAGAGGAATAACTGTTCCTAAAACACTGATAGAAAAGTCTCAAACTGATTACTGAGCATGGTCTAAGGGCCTGGTTTTCAACTATATCAGGTAATAATCATAGTATGTCTAGCTGGAGAGCACCCTAAAGGATCATCCAACCACTGGACATCACAGTTTTACATGCAAAGAAATGGACTGGCATTTATCTAGTAGCTTGTCACAGTTTATTCATAGGTTCAAGGAAATAGCACCCAGAGGCAATTCATTCTAGAATTTCACAAAATCACTTTTCTAGAAAGACCAGTGGCGTGTGTGTCTGTGTGAGTGTGTGTTCTGGCCAAGAGAAGAAAGGGGGACTATAGGGCTTATGGTGCAGTCTGCTATGGAATGAACAAGTCCAAATCAGGATCTGATAAATCTCTTAGCCAAACTTTAAGTAATAAAACCACAGTGCTGAGTATCAGGGCTACAAAAGTTAAGAACTTTTTTCAGGGATGGGAAGACAGTATTTTTATTCCTTAGGGTTGAATGTTCTGTACTGGGTCCTGGCCTGGGCCCTTAAGCCCTCTTTGGGGTTATATTCACTGAAGCTTTGGCACCAAACCAGAAGCCATCTACTGTCTAGTTTAAATTGGAGCCAGTGGGACAATTCCATCTTCTGGTCAGCTTTGTGGGAATGTTATCTATTCCATAAATGGGATGACCATGTTAGAAAAGAGACTTCTTTCTACCTCACAGATTTAAAGAATGGAATTGGTAAGGTCATTGTGTGTGTGTGTGTTTTGCGGGTAGGGGCAGAAGGTTCGGTGTACATTATCAGTTTTTGTAGCATTTAAAATTCCAAATGGAAGGCAAGGAAATACCTATAGCTGTCTTATCCCCATTTCAGGAATAGAAACAAAACATTCTAACACACATCCCCACATAGTGCTTAGAACTTGATATGGAGTAGTGGCCTTCAACCCTGGCTGAAGTTAGAATCCCATGGAGAAGTTAAAAAACAAAAAAAACAAAAAACAAAAACCTGGTCCCAATATTTATCCATTCAATAGTGGAGTTCAGGAAGCATCACTACTTTACAAACAAACAAAACCTCAAAATCTCAAAAAACTTTTTGGTAATTTTGATGAATAGTCATAATTGAGAATCATTAGTTTAATTATTTGTTTTATTCTTTGCCATCATCATCATCATCATTTTTGCTAACAAAACTGATTTATGTACTTTCCCACTGATGTTAAGTCCTAGTGGCAAAAGGCAGGCAGCTGGAAGGAGGCTAAGAAAAATAAATAAAAAAGGGTATGGCAGGACATAAAGTGTACACATGTGGATAGAGCTAAGAGAACTATAGGACCATAAGACAGCATCAATAAGTTCCCTCTCTTTTCCTTTTTGGGATACTGGGATCAATTTCAGTACTTTGTACTTTCCCACTGAGCTATACTCACAGCCCTGTTTCTTTCTTTTTGATGTTTCAGATTCAAGAAGTCTTAAAACTTATGTTAGGTAACCAGCAATTCAGATTGAAATGGGTCGGTTTTGAAGTGAACAAAAAGCAGCACAAGTCTACTAATTAGCAGTTTCCTTTTAAGCAGTTTTCTCTGGATTTTCAGTGAATTTGAGTTTTTTAATTTCCAGAAGAACACTATTAGAAATAACTCAGAAAATGTGAAGAGACATAGACCTAAAACTTACACAAAAGAAAACTACATATGAAACCCTCGCCTTGGATTTTATAGAATGAATTAGGTAAACAGAGAAGATGGAAGTATTTGGGAACAATAACCTTGAGAATGACACAAAGAAGGACAAAAAGCCTGAATCAAACAAAAATCTTGAAAATAAATTCCATTAATCTCTTTGGGGAATATAAGAGAAAATAGTAGTGATTTCAGCAGGAACTGGAAGAAACCATTAGCCATAAACTATAAAAAAAAAATTCAAAATTTTTCAGAATGAAGAGCTCTCTAACATAATACAAACATGTTAATGTCAGTTATTTGTAGTTTTTTTGCCTATATCTAAGAAGTAGTTTTTTTTTTTGGTTATTTTTACCTGTAAGTTGGGAAATTCTAAGGCACGTTATTCCTAACATTAAAATATTTCTTCAGAATAATGTCCTTGCATACATTTCATTCTGTTTTGTTCACGTGTCCTCAGAACCCAGATGCATGCTAGAAGTAAGATAGTAATATGTCAAATACAGTAGCAACTTTAGTCTGAAATGTTTAAAGTTAAAGTTTATTTGTATTCTTTGTAGGAATATCAATAAAAGACCTCAAACGTATCTATATCTGTACATGTACAAGAACCGTCAAAAATTATTCACAGAACAAAAATAAATCTTCTTTAGAACAAACCCAGGTAATGAAATGCAGATATGGATCTCACATATGGAACAATCTAAGTGCTACTTAGCACAAAAATATGGCTTTAAAAATAAAATAAAATCTCGGGTTTTGTTTTTCTAAGGTGTATTTCTCTTTCTTGAAATAAAAAATAAATTATTTAGAGTTATCATTGTAAAATATTCATGTGTATTAACACATTCTTATTAAGGCCCTGGAGATGAGAAACAAAATCAAATTTAGAAGGTAAATTAATCAGAGGTGTAATCTGGGTAAATGTACTGCTGTTTGAGTTGATTTCAAGATAACTAAGAAATGTCTAAGCACCAGTCAAAATTTAACCTTTACTATTTTAGTTTTGTTGCAAGATAGTGGTAATTGAGTTGATCAGTATTTGACCTTTTGGTGAATTGGGAATTGAAATTTTCCCTTGGGAGCTTGGAAATGACACAAATATGGTATTTATACATAAATATTTGCACCCTCACACAGATGATGGAGGCCCCTAAAACAGCTTCTGTGGAAATCTCCACTGCACCAATACATAGATCTGGTTCTAAGTCCCAAAATTTAAAACTTCCTAGGGAAACAATAAGGGACATTTGAATGAAAAATATCCATCAAGTAGGAAATTAAAATGCATGCTGCAATGTGGGCCAAAAGTACCACTTTCTTTCCTTGGATGGCTCACTCCATTTGCCAAGCCTAGCTGGGCTGGTTACAAACACGTGAGGATTAACTGACCCAGGAACCAAGGCTACTTCTTTCTGTGTCCTACAGTGATACTCAACTTTCTTTCTTTAACTCCCTTATGGTATCAGTAATGATATCTAGGGTTCTTGAGACAATGTCAAACCAAATCAAGTTCAAGTCATTTAACTTATATATACATATAACACATATAGTACATTTTAAAGAGAAGAGAATGACTGTCATAAAATCTAATAAATGAAAACATAAAACCTAAAAACCCAAGAAAGTTTTGGAATCACTGCATTAAATGCATTAACATTCATAAAAAGGAAGCCCTAGGAATTGTGTTTTCTGTGGGTGTGTACATTTTCTACAGTAGCCTTTCTATAATAGATGCATTTTAAGAGTGAGCAAGGGCTATAGATCCTCCTGTGTCCTGGACCTCTGGGCTACTAAGGAGACTGCTATGCATTACTCCTGCTCTGGATCATGTGTCCTCCTTGGGTTCTTTCTCATCAGATATTTATCCTATTTCATACAAATTTCATCACTTTTGTCCTTTCAAAACTCAAGAGCATTCATAACTGGGTCATGACGAGAATGCTTCTAGAACTAATAGTCATTCAAAGATGAAGACAGACTATTTAAAAATTCAACACCTCAACATTTCTTGCTTTTAAGAAACTAGCATAAGTCCTTTCAATTGATATGTTGATTTAAAAAAAATGAAGTATACCAGGAAAAGGGCATGAAGGCAACTAATTACTGCTAGGGCAAGCAAGGGATTTTACTACTAGACTTGAGAAAGGGAAGAACAGAGAAGAAAGCCCTTTTGGCTTTCTACAATTGGTAACAGAAGGTGGACTTGAAAACTGTAGCTGAAAATGCATGAACCATCAATCCACAATTTGGAGCCACTGGGTCTGATGCGGTGACAAGTCTAGTCTGGTTGTCAAGCTTGGGGTTCAGTCACAATGGACTAGACTAACAGGACTAAGGAAACCCTGAAGAGGTCTGCATTCTTCAGCTCAGTCCCATATAGTCTTCAGAAACTCCAAACTGGAGATAACTAGAGCTAAATCTAGATAGAAGCCTACCAAATACTAATGTAAACTCTCTTGATGTCAGTTGTCTTTCTCTGGGACTTCCAAATGAGAACTCTATTCCCAGTTTGGTGTACCCCCGAGGACACAGTGAAAGCCAGGGGTCTAAGGAAGGAACCAATATAATAATCCACAAAAAGGGAAGATCTGAAAAGTTTTCCCTGTAAATCAAGCTCAGGATCAAGGACATAGAGTTAATACCTTCAGCAGTCTTAGACAGAAAAATCTTAGCTCTTCTTTACTAGCCAACCCCATCACAGAGAATGGTGGAAGCAGACCAGTCAGAAAGCTAATTCTGGACAACTTGTTATCAAGAGAAAAGCAAAAGCTATAGCTGCTTGATGACCTCATTTTGCAGAGAGCCCTAGACCCAAAAAGTACTTTGATGGTAGTGCCTGGAACACAGTAAGTACTTAAGTGCTTGTTATAGTTATAATCTCCTTCATGCCATGGCTTTTATTGCAGAGGCTCAAGGAAGAACAATGGCCTGATGGAAATTTAACTCTTCTTGCTGCTTTGGTCTGAAAAACTTATTGCTCCAGTGATACAAAAGGGAAATGTGAAGCTCTTTGCATGAGTTCTATTAACATTTTCTTTGCTATTGGCCAAGATGGGTTGTTATCTAGATAAGCACTTTACAAGCACTTTACCTGAATTCCAAATTCCATTCAACCCTGGTACATTCTTACCCTACCATGTGGTGATACACTGGGAGAGCTAGGCAGCCATCTTAATCCATCAGCTTCTCTTCAACCGCACACCTCCTTCTAGCAAAACAAAAATATGTACCTACATGGGCTGAAGCAAAGTCAATTAACAATACCCCAATAAAAATTATACCCTATTAATTGCCTTCTTCCATACCTAAAAAATAATCTTTCAGAGTAAATTCTATAGATTGCAGCTTTACTAAAGAAATACTCAGAAAAATATTTGGATAGGAGTAAGCTCAAAGGATAATCTAAAATTTAACATCTAACATCAACTCTGAACTTCTTTTCTTTTAATTATCCATTATTATTATCACTATTATTTTTAAAGTTTCTTCTCTTCATTCAAGATAACCTGATGGTAGAGGGCTGCATAATTTGTCCAAATACTTTGGCCACTGAATTATCCAATGCAAATTGCCCTCTAAAGAGGTTCCAGAATGCTAAAAAGATATTTACTGAAAACATACTTGGTTTTTGTCTCCTTCCAACCCTTAATATAATATGATAAGCCCATTGTAATCAATAACCAACCCTTGAAGAGCTTCCACACCTTAGTACAAGACATCACCCTTGTTACATACTTAAGGCCACTGAAACGACAGTCCTTTATACCAGGTTTTCTGCAGCACAATTGAAGACTTTTTACAAAGAATGGATTAAACATTGCTAGAGCTGAGAATAAGCCACAATCAAGAACAGATCTACGTTTATATCCTCCCTCATCCAACAAAGGACACTACTTCAGAACTGGCAATATTTTTTCCTGTTGAGTGATTTTGAGCACAGTGTACCCCCAGACTGGAGGAAAGAAAGAATTTACAGAAACTACTAAGGGTCAACAAAATACCCAAGTACCAAACAGCTGGCGTGAAGTCTGCAGTTCTTCTAAGCACAACAAAAAACTCCTGTTAAAAGATTTCTGCCTGGAAGAAACAGGGGTTGTTATGAAGAAAACTATTTAAAAGGTGTGGGTTGGGGGGCTCTGGTGAGGTCGCTGAAATGCAAAGTTCAATACAAAGATCCACCTGAGAGAGATCAGAGTCAAGAGTTGGAAGGCAAGCCTGGGATTCAGTGGAAAGGAAGGCTTGGTGTCTTAAGTCTAGGCTTCAGTCAAGAGGGTACTATACCTGTTCTCTTGTTCCCTTATAAGAAACATTCACTCTATGCACATGTCTCCCTTGGTCTTTTTCTCTCTCTTCCCTTTTTCCTTTAAAAACTTTTTTTTCTTAAAGTTTGTAATTTAAAATAACATTAACTTATTTGAAAAACATTGTTGCTTTCTCAATATAAAACAATAGCTTGGATCTTGCTTAAAGAGGATTTAAGACCCTTTTAACATTATATCTGTACATCTGACAGTGTAGAAGGCATGAACATTTCCTATTGTGCAATTATATGTACACGTGTAAATATATATGTGTATGTATATATATATATATGTATATATAATGTCTGCTTAACATGTAACATTCCATTTCTGGCAATCTAAGTTGCATTCCAGATGACATTTCATACCTCTGGAAAAAAGGAAATCCTTTTCTATGACTTTTAATCTGTCCTATAATAAAGCCATGGAGGACAAATGTTGAGGCTGGGTCATTATTGCCAAATCTACAAGAGCATGGAAATAACAATTGGAATATGCCATTCTAACACTTTTGATTTTCTTTTCTTTCCCTCCCTTCCACCTCCTTCTTCTCCTTCTTCTTTTAAACAAGACTAATCACTCATAAGAGAGATTCTTCATATTTTGATTTCCTTTCCAAATTTTACTGAGGAAGAAGCAATTTAAAAGTTGAAGATGGAGATTAACATAAATTTGCTAGTATAATGGATAAAATCTTTATCCCAAACAAAATTACAGCTTACAAAAAGAAAAAAAATATATTTTTAACAGGAAATAGAGATTTCTGCTATGTTGTAGTTAGCCCTTTTCTGTGTGGAAGAAAGGGTGTTTATTTTGAATGGCTTAAGCACAGCATATTTGAATGACCTCTCCAGGGGAGAGTAATCCTGTTGATGACTGATGACTGCTCCCACCATGGGGAGGAAAGGGCAGTGGACATGTGAAAATGGAGATGGCATACAGAGACACAAATATTTAGTTTTACAAACTGTAAAGAGGAAAAAGAACACCC